GAGGGAGAGAGAGAGAGAGAGAGAGAGAGAGAGAGAGAGAGAGAGAGAGAGAGAGAGGAGGCCCAAGCGGGGGTGTGTGTGAGAGAGAGGGAGGAGGGAGGAGAGAAGAGGGGGGGAGCGAGGGAGGGAGGCTGGGGGAGGGGAGCCGGGGAGGACGAGGAGGGGAGAAGAGAGGAGGAACAGGGAGGAGCTGGGGGCGGAGAGAGACACACAGAAACGTAGGAACGGAGACGAGTGGAGGAGGGGAGAGGGGACGAGGGGAGGAGACTAGCCCGTGGGGAAAATAAGGGAAGGTCCCAGGGGCTGGACTTCTGTGGCCTTGAAGAGGGGGCGTGTTGGAGGCTGGGGGGCCTTGCACCTGAGTTCTGAATCCGGGATCTAACTGATGAGGACTCTGGCCGCTGGAATGCCTGGGTTCACAGACAGCTTAGTTCATATTTCTTATCCTAATGACTCCCCTCCCTGTTCTACTTAATTAAAACCAGGAGAGGGGGGCTGGGGGGATAATTAGGGAGGTCTCCAGCCGCTGCTTAATGAGCCAGTAATTAACCAGCCAGGGAGGGAAGCTGGCCTCTGGCCAGCCTGGGGAGAGTGGTGGCCTCCGGCCTCACCCTCCTACCCTCCACCCCGCCACCCGAAACACCAGTCTTCAGTCCAGAGGGGAATTACATTTATTCATATAACCAAACATCAGACAGCTTAGAACAGCAGTGGGAAGGGAGGGTGGGCAGGGCTAAATGTCCATTCACAGCCTGTAGGCCCCTCAGTCCAGGGGCTGGGTGTGCTGGTGATGGAGGTGGGAGAACCGTCTTTATGTCTTTGCTGTGCCCTCTCTTCCTTTCTTCTTACTGAGAAGGAGGGTGGAACTGTCTCTCAGGTGAAAACCTTGGGAGATTTGCCTTTCCTCTGGGAAATGAGCACCTCAGATCCTGCCTGGTGGCTTGACTACGGGGGGTGTCCCCACAGTTCAGGACCAAGACTCCCAGCCACTCCCTGAGATCAGAGGAGAGGGTGAGGTGTCCCACTGTGGCTGGGATCCTCTCATGGCCTCAAGCTCCTACATACTTGGTCATGGAGGGAGTTCAATGTCCATCCTACCTTGACTATTCCCAGGGTTTGAGGATTTCACCCGCTCCAGTTCCCAGGAAAGGTGGATGAGGGCGATGAATACTGAGATTTCTGCTGGGTCTTCCAGTCTCTGGTGCCCCTGCCTGGCAGGGTTGAGGGCATGCAGTGGGCTGCCCAGCTTTTGAGCCGCAGGAGTGCAGAGGGGCTGGTGGGGCTCAAGTCTCAGCAGGTGTGTGGGGGGGGGCTGGGACCTTTGCTCCTCCATTCGACCCCCACCCTGAACTCTCAGCAGCAACTCCAGGAGCTCCTGTCCCCCTGGGGGTAAGGGAGGCTCTGACCGCTGGGCTTCCATCCGCTGGCTCTGGAGGAGTGGAGGGAGGGGAGGTTGTTGGTGAGGTTCTAAGAGGAGCAGGGCTTGAAAGGAGCCAGAGCTGGTGTGAGGGGCTGGTGTGAGGACACCTGTGATGGGGGTAGGGGGAGTAGGACCTGGCGGGGCAGGGGGGCAGATGCCTGAGGAGAAGGAGAGGTAGGACCCCCAAAGAGTACAAGGGCCAAGAGACCAAGAAGCCTGGGTCTTGCCTCCTGGTGGAGAGGGGATGGGTGTCTCACCTGGTGACTGAGGATGGTGCTGTAGAGCTGTTCTCTGTCCTCAAGAGGCCGGGGCGGGGCTTGGCCTAGGCTTGGACGGTTCTGGGGGGGATGGAAGGTGGCCCTTTGCTCTTCTAGGCGGCGGGACTGGGCCTCAGCCACCAGGTCCAGAAGGAGCTCAGTCTGCAGGGAGAGCAGGGAGGCCGAGCGGGGCCCCAGGGCTGGGGAGAGGAGGGGGAGGGCTCAGACACCCAGAGAATTGGCAGACAGCAGTGGTGGGTGTGTGTGTATGGGGGGTCAGAGTTAAGGGGGTATGATGGGGAGTCCGGAGGAGGTGGGGAGAGAGCCCATGATGGATTGGGCCTTGGTCATGGGATCAGGAAGGATGTGGGCACCAGAGTCAGGGAGCTCCTTGGGTGGGTGGGGGTACCTGTGTGGCGGGACCCTGGAGGAGGAGGGGACGGAGGAGCAGATCGCCAAGGCCGATTGCTGGTGTTCACAGTGGGCCAGCCATGCTCATCCTGATGGGGGCCCTGATGCTGAGAGACATCCGTTCCAGTCAAGTGGGGGTGGGGTGGGCAGAGGGCTAGGCCAGCAGCCCATTTCCTCTCTCTGCGTCTCTGTTCCTGCCTCTGTGCCCAAGCCTGTCCAAGTCCCTTGAGTCCACCATTACTCAGTCTCTGCCTCAGGTCCTCTCACCTCCCTCTCTCCCAATGCCAGCCTCCCCAACCCGGTGCCAGCTCACCTGCTCGCCATCCTCTTCTTCCTGGGGTCTCTCAGCCTCCATCCCCTGGAGGGGAGAAACCGATAAGGGAGGGGTAGCTGGGATTTGGGAGGAGGGCCGGAACCCTGAGTTCCTGAGGGGAGTAGGGGCTGAAAGGGGTGGGGGTGAGCCGGGGGCTGGATGCCTGGGTACTGAGCAGGAAGCTGGGTTCCTGGTCAGCACCCCCCCCGGGCCCCGCCCATCCCTGTCAACTTCCTCCAGTTCTCTTTTCCCACCCAACGGCTTGTTTGACCTCTCTCGCCCCCGGGGAGCACAGAGACTGGAAAAACTCCTCCAGCTGCAGTAGGGATGGGGGTTCAGAGGGGGAAGGACTTTTGGCTTTCTCATCTCCAGAGCCTCAGGAACCCCCTAACCTCCTGCTCTGTTCCCTCCACCCCCCTCCTCCCCTTCAGTTCTGTCAACACAGGAACTAGCTACAGAGGAAGTGGTTTCACTCCTCAGAATCCCCCCCCCCCCCCCACTCCTTACCCCAGGTACCTTCCCTAAGAAGGACCTGCCCCCTGCTTCCCAGCTTCCCTCAGACTTATTGGGTCGGGGAGGGGCATGTTTCCAGTGGGAAGCAGAGGACTCAGATCCAAGGATGTCAGGCCCTCAAACATACATATACCCCTAGCACTGTCTAACAAATATGTGTTAAATAGTTATCATTGCCCTATACGTGCTTAGAGTCTACTTAGGGCACAAAATATGCACCAAACGTAAGAGATGCAGGGGAAGCTTTCCTTTCGTCATGAAACGGAAAAGGGAGAGGGGACCACAGCCTGCCCTGGTCTTTGATCAATGCTGGTCAGGCTGGCTGGCACCAGGGTGGGAACAGGACAGAGACATTTGTGACCTCTAAATGGCAGCCTGTCATGTTAGCTGAGTGACTGAGCATGAAATACGATGAAGAGGTCAGGTTCTGCCACTTAGTGCTTTGCAATCTTGGGCAAATACAATCTCTGTGCCTCAGTTTCTGAAGGAGTAAAATGGAGGTTTTTTTAAATAGCGTTGGTATGAGGATCAAATGTGATAAAGCATTTGGCACATAGTGAATGCTCATAAATGGTAGTTATTATTCGTTTTCAATATGCTTCATGTCTCCGTGTCTCAGGTCTATCGCCATGAAAGAGGTATAACCATATGGCTGAATGGTGGTTAAAGTTTGAGGTGCTCTCTCCATCTCCCTCCACGTGAGGGCTCAGGAATCTCCCAAGTGGCTATAAAAGAATGCCCTTGGAAGAGGGACAAAGGGTATGCATGGTTTAGTGTGTGTGTGTGGTTTCTCATCGGGCTACTAGAGACTCTTGCCTTTAGATGATACCCTAAATTAACATAGGACCCCAAATCTACTCATTCCTGCTCTTAAAACTATACTCAAAGCTTCCATCCAAATGTTGAACCTAGGGCACAAAATTCTGAAAACACTCTGCAGTCAACTTCGTGTTTTTTCCATTCCCCAACCCCTCCAAAAGACGGTAACACTTCAAATCAGCTTTATTATGGGGTGACAGATTTGGAGTTCTTAGCTATAGTGGTGGCTAGAAGAGTGGCACTTCATCCCTGCAATGGTTTGTTTGGGGGTGGGGTGAGGTGGGGAGAATGCAAGGAGTCATCAGCTGGAGTGACCCTTGGCCCTGCCTTCTGTGCCTACACAGTGCCTGGCACACAGGAGGTGCTCAATAAATATCTGTCAGCCGTTTGTGGGTAGTGGGGGTTACAGGCGATAGAGGCTCCCTTTGGAAACAGTATACAGGAAAGAACATCTTACATTCTATCTGTCTGCAGTTCTTGGTTCAGGGGTACTTCTCCCATTCCACTCCATCCTCCTGTAACACCTCATCCTTATTTTCTGTGAGAGAGGCTGGGCCTGCTTCATCCCAGCACCCCGAACCCTCTTTCCAGGCCTGCAGTTTCTCCACGTGGAAGACGATGTGGCATACACCATTTTGGGAGAGACACTACACTCATGACCCCTCACTTTTGAGGCTCAAGGACCTTAAAATCTGGAGGCCTTCCATACTGCTTGCCATTTAACGAGTACTCACTTTTAGAATCCCTCCCTGACATGCAGCCTTTTATTTCTCACCCTCGCCTCCCGCATTTAAGGGTATTACTTGGTGGGCTGGGGGACCCCATGCAACTTGAGGGGATCCCCGCTCAGGGGACGGAGTGAGGCAAGGAGGCGGGATTGGAGTGTTGGAGGCGGGGCCGCAGGCTCCTAGAGCCACCCAATCGCAGGGCCAGTCAACAGCTGAGGCCACACCCCCGCTCCCGGCCGCGACCCCGGATCTTCCTCGCACTATTGCAGGGTTGGACGGAGGCCCGCGCATGCCTGCAGAAAACCTACGGCCGCGGAGGGGCGGGCCTTCTCCTGCTCCTTTCGATAGGCTTCGGCAGTGCGAATAGGCCCCGCCCCCATGGGCGGCCAAGTCTACGGACAAAGTCCGGGCTTGAGGATAGGCTCCGGCTGACAGCGTCCGGCAGCGCGGCTGAGCCCCGCCCCCACGCGGGGGCACGCTTCCTGATGCAGTCCGCGCGCGCTGCAAGGCGCCGGCGCCGCGGCCTGGCGTCGCTTTGTGACGAGCTTCCGGTGGTCCCGCCCCTTCCAGCAGCGTCAGCAGATCCCAGTGGTTGCGCTGGCGTGCGATGTCCCCGGGCGCTAGCCCGGCTTGGTCCCGCAGCCCTCGGGCGGCTCCCAGCCCCAGCAGCAGCTGGGCTACCTCCATGGCTCCTTCTCGGGCCGCCAGGAACAGCGGCGTCTGCTCCTGCCCGGGAGGAAACAGCCAGCGGGGGCGGTCAGGGAAGGCCGCGCCCACAGGACTGGCCCTCCTACTTGACTGGTGGTCCCTCCCCCTTCAGGTTTTTCGGAGTTCCGGCGCTTTGCACCTCTCCCGCGTCAGCTTAATTGTTGGGGGCCCGCTACCCGGTCTAACCCTGCCGTCCAGTGCGTCTTTATCGGCTCCGGCCTGGAGAAGGGAGCGGGCGGCCCGGGCGTTGTTCACGGCGGCGGCCCAGTGCAGCGCGGTTTTTCCTAGGGCACCACGTGAGAGGTTGTTACCCTGAGGCTGGGGGCCCGACGCCTGGGTTCCTGTTTCCCACGGATTCTGGACTTGGGGGAAGGGCTATTCAGCCCGCCGGGTCCCTCAAAGGCGGAAGCGTTGCCCGGGTGACCGCCGGCTTGCAGGAAGCGTTGCCCCAGTGACGTCACCGGCGCGCGGGAGGGACAATGGGGCATTGTTCTGGGGTCAATGGGACCGGCAGACCACGTCCCTCCCACGAGACCCCCTCCCTTCTCACTCTTCCGCCATCCTAGTTCCCAGTGGACTAGGGTAGTGTGTGTGTGTGTGTGTGTGTGTGTGTGTGTGTGTGTTTGAGGATGATGAGGTAAGACTCACTTGCTGCCTACTGCCACCGTACTGTGCAGATTTACCACCTTGACAGCAGGGTGGGAGGGAATGCCCCAGTTTCCAGTTGGTCCCTCTGCTAACCCCCCTTTTTTGCATCTTATCTCACACCCCATTTGCTCAACTTCTTGATAGCACAACATCAACTTCCCCAGATCCATACCCCATTTATCTCTGGCCCCCACATCTGCTTGGGCTGCAATCAGTTCTTCAACCAGGTCCTCAACAGCTAGCCTGGCGGCCAGCATCAGGGCTGTGGTCCCATCCTCTGTCCGCGCATCTATTGCAGTCTGTCTGCTGCGGAGTAAGAGCTGGGGCGGGGTGGGGGTGGGGCGGCAGAGAGGGCCAGTGACCCTTGGTATATCTGAACTGCTAGCTAAGGTCCCTCACACTGTTAAGCACCTCCGAATCCATATTCATCCATCTGTTCTTGTTTCTCTTTCAGTCCCCAGTCTCACATCACCTTCCTCTCTGCCAGACCCAGAGGATGCTATTGCCCAGCCTTACTTGCAAGTTTGCCCCGTTTCCTTTAGCAGCCCCAGTGTGCACTGACCTGGCAAACCTCCCGAGCATCAGCGGCCACAGCGGTGTGAAGCGGGGTGCGCCCTGCCCGGTCTGGCTGGTTGGGGTTGGCTCCTGCCTCAAGGAGGCGGCGGGCAGCGGTTGGCCGGGAGAATCGAGCAGCCAGGTGCAGGGGAGTCTCCCCAGTGCCCACGGTGTGAACCTGGGGACAGGCCCCTCCACCCAGCAGAGGTTCCCAGGGCTCAGGGCTTCCCAGCCATGTCTCCTGATAGGTCCTGGGCTCCACTCCCCCACAGCAGACTGCTGACATCAGGGGTGTCACCCCATCTGTGGGTGAGAGACATGAAGAATGGGAGACAACTGGGGAAGGGGGAGAACATGGAGGCTCAGGGAGAATCACAGCTTGAGGTGTCAGGAAGCCCAGCTTGGGTTCTTGATTTTGTGTGGCTTTAGTCAAGTGACTTTCTACTTTGTTTTTCTCTGGGCTTTGGTTTCCTCATCTGTAAAAGGAAGCATCAGGCCTTAATACTCTAACATTCTAGGGCCGTGATTCTCAAACTTGAGTCCTGGATCAGACTCACCTGCAGGGCTTGTTAAAACACAGATTCCCCAATATTTTGAATTTCTGAATCAGTAGCTCTGGAGTGGAACCTGAGAATTTATATTTCTAACAATTTCCCTGGTGATGCTGATTCTTCTGTCCTGGGACCACACTTTGAGAATGGCTGTTGGAAGCACTCACTCTAATATTAGTTTCTCCAGTTCTGATATCAGAGGACTTTCTGATTCTAAAAGGGTCAAAGGGAGTTTTCATTTTCTTGGTCTGGGGTGGCTCACATACCAGGTCCACGGGTGTCCACATCAGGGACATCCATCTCAGAATCCTGGGGAGGAGTCAGCATGGCTGCCTGGGGGAGCTCCTGACAGTCACTACTCAGAGGCCAGAGCTGGCACTTGGAGGGTGAGGCCATTTCTTCAGCCTTGGGGATCAGGACAAGCAAGGATCAGTGAAGGAAGGTTGACTTGTCCCTTCAACCCCTCCGTCACTTTAGGACCATTCCTGCCCCAGTGCTTTCACCTGGTCCGCCTCTTCTC